CATGGCATGGGGAACTTTTAAACATAAAAGAACTAGATGAATTACATACCTTTGATTGTGAATTGATTCCTTAGGAGTTTGAGAGCCAAGCACCAATAGTGTGAATGCCTCAAATGGAAATCACAAATCACCACAAACTTGGAAAACTTATGAGAGAGTATATATATGCTCAAATGGAAATCACAACTCACCACAAACTTGGAAAACTTATGAGAGAGTATATATATGCTCTAGAAATCGGCCACCTTTCTTCACACACACTAGGGTGTCATTTCATGCATCACAAGCTTGTTTATATAGTGCACATGATTAGGGTAAACCCTAATAACCCATGTCTTTTCCTTTCCAAGGATCCATGGGTTAAAAGCTCCATGGATCATCCATGGACTCCCATATAAGCTTAGCCCATTACCATAATGAGTGTTAGCCCACACTATATAAATATAATAGCCCATGTTTAATTAGTCACCATTTGATCACTAAATTAATTCATAATTAATTTAAGACCAATACTAATTCAATAATACAATTTCATATTAATATATTATAACTTATAATATATTAATAAATCATAAATATACTATTCTCATAAAATTATCCATATAAATAGTTCGGGTGAAGTGCAACCCAAATGGACCATGCCGGGTCGAGTCAAGTATATACCAAATAAGTTATGGACTTAGACACCTTATCCAACAGATTTTTCGTAATCAATTCGTGGTATATCCAGTTGATCCCTTTTTGTTCTGTTGTTATAAGTCTATTTGTATTTCAGTGGATATGTTATTTGTTTCCGACACTGCCACTGGTGAGGACAATTCATCTTCAGATTATAACATGAAGATCAATGAATTTAGGAATGAAACACTTATATGGAATTAGACATACATATATTATATATTTGGGGTCCAAAGGGTAGAAGGACTCTTGTTTTTGAAATATAATTGTAGGGGTCGAAACTTAAATAGTGCGGAGTCGAAATAGTTTAAGTTTGTAAGGAGTTGAAATCCAAATGATTCCGACTCTCTATGTATTTACAAGGCATTGTTTATATTCGAAGCTATAATGTTTAGTCCTTGTATTTTTTTGCTGAGTTCGTTGTACCCTATAAATAGGGTAAGTACTATAGTTGAGCGTAACTTTTAAGCTCTTCAGTTTGTAAACAATCTCAAAACTTTGTACTCTTCAGACTTAATACGAGCCCATCAGATCATATTTACATGATGTGTTCTTAATTGTTTCTTTGATTGATTTCGTGTTCGTTTATCGATTCTAACTCACATCAATTGGTATCAGAGCTCATAATTCACACATCAGTTGGCATCAGAGCGGGTGTTCTTGAAGTCTTCAAGAATTTGATCCATGATGACATTTTTGATTTGGTGAATCTTCATGTTGTAAGTTTTTTTTTGTTTGAGAGAGTTTTTGTTCTAAAAATCAAATATATTCCTTGATTTGATTCAAAATTCGATTTTCCTTCTCTATAATACTTGTTAATTTCGCTTTCTCTCTCAAGAACGTGGTTCATATTCTCTTTCTCTCTAGAAAGTCATTCGAAATTACTTTCTCTATCTAGAGATTTCATTCATAATCATTTTCTCTCTCTAGAAATATCCAACTTCTAGTGATCTTTGTTGTTAATTGATCAAAGATGGTACGTTTTCTTTATGATTCTTGGATCGTGATAATTGAAGATGTCAAATACAAAGTCAATGAGAATCAGTTTTATGGGTTATTTTTGAAAGGCAAGTTTATTATATGGGAAACTTTGATTTCTTATGGAGACAAGACAGATGATCATGGAAAATTGATATTTCAACCTCTTTGTAAGATTGAAAGTTTGACTGAAATTACCATGAATATTTTATGTTGTCATGGTAACAAAAAGGAAGGAAAGAAAAAGAATTATTTGAAAAGGAATATGTTTCTCTTATTGACGACCCAAATGATCTTCATGCTCTTGAGTTTGTTGAAGACGTTCTTGAAGAAGTTCATCATGTTCATGATGTTCTTGATGTTCAAGACAAGGGAATTCAATGTGATTTTCATGTAGATGTGAAAGTTTTTCATTCAATTGGAGTTCAAACTGATGATTGCTTGAATTCTTGTGATTCGTTTGAAGGAATGGTGTCATACTGAAAACCTTGAATCCAAGTAGTTCAAATTTATCAAACTCCAAAAGATTTGATTCAAAATTTCAAAGATGAACTTGTCAAGATTGATGTTGTTCTTGAAGTCAAAACTTCAAGATCCAAACAGATGAAGAAGAATATCAAAAACAAGAAGATTTGAGTTTCTAAACAAAAATTTTCAGATGTTGTCATGAAGCCGAAATCAATGAAGCAAATTTGGGTTCCAAAGCAACAATCATCAAATGTTGCAATGATTTCGAATTCCAAACCCAAAATTGTTGAAAATTCTCAGATTCGTTATGAAGATGAAGTTAGATCTTTGAAAAATGAGAAGAATGGATTGTACAATGTGCATCGTGGATGGTATAATGTGAAATTTGGAGATTTCTCAGTTCCAACCAAAGAAACGAGATATTCCATGATTGATTCGAGTATTGTAAATGGAAAAATAATTATCAAGAAGGTTTCTCAAATTCTCAAATGGATTCCGAAAAATTCATGTTGAGATCGCGACCTTGTTCTTGAAGATCCAATGATGAACGATTCAGGTTTTCTCGAAATTCAAATTCAATTTTATTTTCAATTCATGCTTTTCATTTTTTATTTTTGATCGTTTTGACTCGTTGGATCAAAATTGTTTCCACCGCAATGATGATCCAATAATTTTTTTTAGATCAAGACCAAACTAATTCTCGTCACTATTCATTCGATCCAAATCATTCAATCTGTTACTATTCATTTAATCAGATTGAGCTCAATAAAAAACAATTCGAATACTGTTCATCATAGATTTTTTTGAGCCCAAGTCAAAATCAATTTCATCACACATCTTCTTTCTCACATCATTCATTAATTCGAAATCAGAAGAATATTGAAGTTTTTGTTCTCGTTCAATAGTCAGCAGAAGAGAAAATCGAAAAGTCAAAGTATGATGATTTTGAATCTTGGTGAAAAATGAATGAAGTTTTCTTGATTCGAAGTAGATGAAAGTTCAATGTTGATAACGATTGAGAATTAAATGTTTGAAAGTTCAGTTGTGGTTTGAAGTCGAAATTAGTTGGTGATGATTCGAGTCTATTGGATGTCGATTGGCATACTTGTGTTGGGTTCGTTGTTTGTCTGATTGGAGTTCGATTTTTGGTATTTGAAGACTTAGTTATGAGTGAATGATTTGTGTATGGTTTTAGGATGCTCGCATTCATGACTTAAGATGAAATTGAATTTATGATCGAAATCAGTTTTGGAGTCGAAATTGATTTCGACGTTATATGGCCATAATTGAATTTGATGATTAGAAGAAGGCTAAGAATAAAAAATCAGACCCTTGATTATCGAAAACCAATTGTTGATTTTGTATGCATATGAAGTCGACATCGATTTATGGTTAATCGTTAATTCGAGTCGATTCAAGCATCTGGGATTGCTTGGAATCGAAAATATGTTCGATTAACGTTTTTGGAATAATAGTCAACAAAAATTACTTGAAGTTGAAATCACTTTCGACTAGGTGTTGTGTCCAAGTCAAACTGATGTTGATTTACCTGTTCGAGTCGATGATTAGAAAAAACTTGACTTTGGAATCGAACGTTCAAGAATCGTTGGTCAAAGATTTATAGTTGAAATATGGAATTGGAACTAGGAATCGAACGTGAAAGAAAACGATTCGATTTTGGGATGATGAGTTGTAAGTCATTGGATTGGAGTTGAAATCAATTTCGACTGGTATTGATGTTTATAAAATAATTTCAATTACGTATTGCTTGGAATCAAATTCAAGTTCGACTAGTGTTAGTTGATTGAGTCCAAGTCAAAAGCCTTTAGCTTGGGATCGATATAAAGGTTAAGAATCGAATTAGACATTAAAATTAGTTCGAATCGACAGGTCTAATTTCGGCTATTATGGTATTTCACTGGGAATCAAATTCTATTTGGGAATCAAATAGATAAGGAGTCGAATTCGACTACTTGGGGTTAAATGTCTTGGAGTCGAACACCTTGGGGACGAATGAGTTTGTTTGGAGTCGACATCGAATTCAACTGATGATGTTGTTCCATTCACTCACATCCTGGTATCGAATTGGGGAAGAAAAACACATCATTTCACTTCGAGTCCCTGAAGTTTTAGCATAATGGCAATTTCTACCCAGTTTCGAATTGGCGTAAGTTTTTTTGAAGAAGTAAAGATGTTTCAGTTCGAATCCCTGAGGTTTAAGAATTTTGACAGTTTATACCCAATTTCGACCTGAAGTTTCCCATTTGGGGTAAAGTTTCGCATTTGAAGTTGATTTGTAGCAACGGTTCCCTGCAGAATTTGTGAAAATGACAGTTTTTACCCAGTTTTTGAATTTCTTGTAACTCTCACCCAAAAGTTGAAATTTTCACAAATTTTGGAACTTTTTCTCAACTTTTCGTGATTGTTTTTCATGCAAGATTTTCGTGGTTGCATTTTTGTCACACATCAAGGGGGAGTTTCGTCACATTTATTCCTCGAGCGCTTCTCATCCTTGGTGGGATTTATAATCATTTGTTGATTATAAAAGGGGGAGAATGTGGAAATGGGTATTCGATGCTTCTTGGATATTCCTTTACAAAGCGGATTTGAAGACCGTTGTTACTTCGAGGGGGAGTTGGTCTTGATTGCGATCTCGTTTAGAAATTGAAGTCGGGACATCCAATCCTAACTTTGATGGGGGAGAATGTTAGGATGCAAAGTTCTCAATGGATATGGCTTACCCTCTCGTGATGTATAATGAGTTTAGTATTTCCTACCATTTATGTAAGAACCATAATGGAACCCATTTGAGGGATTAGTTTAGAGAGAGAATTTACATTACCCACTTGTAATCTTGCTGTTCTAATGGAGCTTAAATGCTTTTATTTACTCTTGGTGTTCGGCCATCGAAAGGGGCTGACGGTTCTTCTAAAGCTTCTAAAGCTCCAAAGAAGATAAATCAAGCTGAGAAACCACCAACTATGGAGGAGGGTGTTACAAAAGAAATTATTCGTTCGAAATCAGGAATTCTCAAGCATACAAAGAAACCAACGAAGAAACCCAATGATTCCCCAGTTAAGCAATCTGTTCAAGAACCAGAAATCAAAACTACTGAGCAAACACATGTTGATTCTTCACGAACTCATTCTTCTCAGGAGGGTATCAAGAAGATTTGAAAGCCTTAGTTCAACAGGAAAGGAGTTTTGTTTAGAGAAGTATATGTTCCTGTTTCACCTGCATCGAAGAAACGTCAAGCCCTGGATATGGCTCAGAAATTGCAGCAGAAGAAATGGAATCTCCAGTATCCACTTGACCAAGTCACAGGCGAAAGTGATAATGATAGTGATAGTGGCAAATCTGATATTCGCATAGAAGATTCTGTGCTTGGATCACCTCGAAGGGATTCTCCTCTCAAGTCGAATTTCGAGGCGATAGGAGATCGTGATGTCAATGTAAACGTATTTAATACAAATACAGACATCAATTTGAATGATCAAACAACAAAATCCATCCCTGAGAAGACTAAGGTCATACCACCCGGAGTTTCGCGAACAACAGATATCCTTGTGGACTTATCTGATAAGGACACAAATGTCAACATGGATGAAACCTCTACTGCTTTACCACCAATTTTATCACCCTTAACAACTTCAGTTCCAGTTTCGACCATCTCACCAACATATTCCACAATCATGCATGAACCGATCACCACTCTATTCTATTCTCAATCCACTGAGGCTGAAAGAATGATTCATGACGAAGAAGCAAATGATGATGAGATTATGGTATCATTTACTGATCTTTAATTCGATCCTGAGTCGATATGGTGTATTTATTGAAATATCAAGAGAATCGTTTTCGAAGCTTGGTTGAAAGCATAGAGCAGAAACAAGCCGAAAGGTTAGTAGTTCATTCCAAAAGCTTTGACTATGAGATTCAGAAGCTTCGTGACGTTGCAAAAAAATGTCATGATATCTTTGTTGAACAAGTGACGAAAATGAAGGAATATGTGGATCTTAGTGTTTCTAAACTCAAATCGGAGATGTCAAAAGACGTTTAGAAAATGGAGCAAAATTACACTTTTCTGCATAGCAAATTTTATGTCGTTGCGACTGTTATCACAAAGTTGGTTGATTTCAACACTGAGTATTCGAATAAGCTTGAAGTGAAGTCAGGAAAGGATTCTCACGTGTTTGAAAAGCTGGAAGAATTCTTATTTAGTATCAAGGAGTCTAGTTCGAAAGCTTCTCTTTCAAACCAACCCTTAGTTTCTCAAGAGTCTATTTCTTAATTGATTTTAACTATTGAGACCAATATCAATTCAAAGCTTGCTCCAATCCTTAAGTTGGTTCTTCGATTGCCAAACTAATCCTCCACGTGTGGTGTAAGTGTCACAAGGGAGAGAGAAAGGATTTAGAGGAGTTGGTTCCTCAAAAGATTATGAGAAAGGATTTGTTGGGAAAGTGAGTTCGACTCAAATTCCGACTTCACTTCCCATATCATTGACCACGACTTCTACAACAACTACAAGAGCACTGATAAAAGGGATCTCAATAAACGAAAGAGTTGGAGGTTCGAGTTCAAGTTCAATTCCACCAACTTCGAATGATGATCCAAGTAATAAAGGAAAAGCTATTTCTGTGATTCTATCTAAAGAAGAAAAGAAAAAGCAACAAGCTATTGAAATTGAGAAGCAAAGGCAGATCAACAGTATAATGAGCCGAAGAGAAAATGACCCACCTGGCTTGAACAATGGTGATCCCAACAAGAAGTGGTGTTATGAAACGATTGAGGATATTGTTTTGATTGGGTTGAATGATTAATTTTGTAAGGTTCCTACGAAGAATTATGATATTGAGAATTCTGATTTTAGTCAGCTTGATTTCCCGATAAACCACATGTTGTTCACAACCTCTCGGTTAAAGATTTTTGAAAATTTTTATGATAAAGATGAGCTCAAAAGACTGAAGATTCGTTTCCATGCAGTCTTGGGGAAAAGCAAAGAAGAAGTATGGTCATCTGTGAAGATTGTGAAAGTGATGACTATAATGTGTGACAACTTGTTCGAAGGTCTTCTGCAAAATTTTCTCTATGTGGTCTTAAGAACGAACAATGTAGCTTGTGAGTTCTCTTATGCAGATTTCCAACTATTGAACTTAAACGACTTGATTACGGTCACAAGGATTTTAAGTAATGTGGATGTTTCGAAGCTAATTGAAACCAACAAGGATGATTTCATAATTGGTTTTGCTCATATCAAGGTTTTCATAGACAACTACTATGATTACTTGGCAATCACAAATATTGAGCTTGCTTTAGCTGTCAACAAGCCTTCGAAAGTCCCTCAATCTTTGTTGAAAGGAAAGATTAATATTGATAAGTATGAAGATGGTGAGATAATACATCAACCTCTTGGGGTCGTGCTTCGAGGGAAGAATAGGAATGGGAGGATGATGAAATTTTTGTTTCAAGTAAGTGATTTAGAGAGGTATATGAATGCTCAATATACCAATCTCCTTGTTCGAATTAACAACTGTAAGAGGAATGAAGTTGAAGGTAAGGCTGAGATTCGAAAGACTATTTTGTGGTATATGGATATTTGCAATGTACTTCTTCAGACTTTGAAGCTTATGGCATAATTTCGACTACTCTCACTAAGGGGGAGATTGTAGGGGTCAAAACGTATATAGTGAGGAGTCGAAATAGTTTAAGTCTGTAAGGAGTCGAAATCCAAATGATTTCGACTCTATGTATTTACAAGGCACTGTTTGTATTCGAAACTAGAAAGTTTAGTCCTTGTATTTTTTGTTGAGTCTGTTTTACCCTATAAATAGGGTAAGTCTTAGAGTTGAGAGTAACTTTTGTGCTCTTCAGTTTGTAAACACTCTCAAAACTTTGTACTCTTCAGACTTACTACGAGCCAATCAGATCATATTTTCATTATGTGTTCTTACTGCTTTCTTTGATTGATTTCATGTTCGTTTATTGATTCTAACTCACATCAATAATTCATTGAACGTAATTATCTTGAAGCATTTGGTACTTTACCCTTTCTCTAATGCCAAACTACAAATTAAACTATGAAGATGTTGATAACCGGAATTTTTAATGAATGTTGGGGGTATTCATGAATTATTTGATTTCGTATACGAATAAACCATCCCATACTACCTCTGTTGACTTACTTTTATGGTTGTAATCGACATTTTTCTGTATTTATGTATTTGTGTTGACTGAACATATAAGTCAAAATACGTTTCTCTTTGTAGTTGTTTTTGTATATAAAAGGGAAAAAATGAATTGTTATTTTCTCTTTTTACAAGAAAATACCAGCATACTTTCATTTAATTGTTTGTCACAACATTCTACTTTTTTTTCTCTACTTCCAGACGAAGACATGGATGTGAAATAAATATGTCTATATTCTATCACTAGATCATATTAGTCCTCTCATAAATCACAAAAAATTGGCTTATTGCATGATCTCTCTTGGTTCTCATAATTTGTAGATAAGCTTATATTTTCTTTTCATAATCTTGTTAAAGTTTGCAGGTTACAATTTAAACTACTTCTTTTTCAAAATATGTTGAATTTACAGGAGTTCATTTAGGATGACCTATAATCCCAAAATAGCTCACATATTCAAATAGATTTTTGTGCCTAATGAATTCTTGGTGTGAGTCAGTACTAGTGTTATAGATTGGTGACTTTGATTCCTTTTCTATCTTTAATGCAATATAGATGCACACTCATGTTTCGTTTTACTTTGATTCTATTTGGAGAATGGCTTACAAAGGTTGCAAAACCGTTTAGACATCCCCTATGATGGTTCAACTCCAGATGAACATACCACATGCGCAGATCACTTGTATGGTATTTATGCATAAATGTACTTTATATTTTTTTGGATTACACTTAACTAATATGGTTGTGTGTCGTAGGGTTTCACTCTAAATGGATTAAAAGGTTTCTTAGTTATTATAGTTATTTATATATATTAAATAATATTAAAAAAAACAAAATATGGCAATTAAAAACAAATTGTGATTAGTATTAACAAAAATATTAATAATGGGAGAGAAAAAATGTGGTATTGTCGAATCATTGCGAATATATTTTAATGATTTTTCTGTATTAATATTTATATAATATAAAAGTAATAAAAATGATATAAGGATTGAGGTGTATATGGATAGTCTCAACCTATTTAATACCAGGTTACTTGTAGAAATTTGGCGCGCTCAATATATATATATATATATATATATATATATATATATATATATAGAGAGAGAGAGAGAGAGAGAGAATGGTGGTATTGTCGTATCATTGCGAATATATTATAATGATTTTCATGTATTAATATTTATATAATATAAAAGTAATATAAATGATATAAGGATTGAGGTGTATATGGATAGTCTCAATCTATTTAATACTAGGTTGCTTGTAGAAGTTTGGCGCGCTCGATATATATATATATATATATATATATATATATATTATATATATATATATATATATATAGGTTTAGGTTTATTTGAGACCATGTTAATTTTGTTAGACCGTGAGACGCAATCTAAAAATAATTTTAAAATGCAAAATAAAAGGAAAAATCCAAAAATTCTTTTTTTATTATTATTTTCTTTACCTAAAAATAGCAATAAAAAAACAAAAAAAAATTACCGTTTTTTTTAAATACATGAAATATTCTAATAGAATATTATACTGTAAATATTTCAATTTGATTTTTAGAATGTAATAATATTCTAATATTCTAGTACAATATTCTAATATTCTACTAAAATATTTCACAGATATTTAAAAAAAACGGTAATTTTTTTATGGATAAATAAGTGACGAAAATAATATCTAAATTTTTTTTTTGAAAAATTTCAAGTATTTTGCATTAAATTTTTTTTTTATCTACAAAATGAGTGGCTAGGATTGCGTCTCTCCGTCTTACAAAATATAGTGGTCTCACATGAACCTATCCCTATATATATATATATATATATATATATATATATATATATATATATATATATATATATATATATATAGTAGACGAAATCCTGCGCGTTGCACATTAACACATATATAGTTGAAATCTTTACAATATATTTTTTCTTAAAAGTAACAATAACATTGTTGTTAAATTTGATATAATAATTTG